TCCTTCAATTGGAGAAAACTCCCCACGCGCCCCGCGGGCGCGGTAAAAAGGAGGTGCGACAACGAGAATATTCGATAGTTTCAATTAAGGGAAGATGATCTTAGCTGCACTTAAGACTAGGCGATTATAGGAGGGATGACAATAACCCTCAATAACACAGGCAGTTATGAAAAGGTAGCATGACGATAAGAGAGACGAAGTTCTTCAGTTAAATCAAATAGGATGACAATTAGGAAATAAGAGTAAATCATGAAGCAAGTAATTCCAACTAAACATGTAGAGACGAAACTAATAAGCAAGAACTTAGTCATATCAAGAATACCTCCATATGTAGTGAATATAAGAACCCTAGAAGGCCAACTATCTACAATTAAGTCCGAGTACGCACTCGTCACCTCGCATACACGGATTACAATCAGCATAGAAAACTCAATCCTAAGGAGAAGTCCCCCACACAAGGTTAGGCAAGATATTTACCTCAAAGATGACAATTCGGTACTCTAAAATGGACTTCTCGGGCGAAAAGTCCTCCGGACAGCTCAAATCCAACTATAACAAGTCCAAAACACACATAAATCGAATAAGGAACTATTCTGAATAACAAAGTTTCAATCTTTATAAAAATATAAAATTGACCTAAAAGTCGACCCCCGGGCCCGCACCTCGGAACCCATCAAATTTTACAAAATCCAATCACCCATTCCAAAATGAGTTCAACCATATAAAATTTATCCAATTCTGATACCATTTGGTCCCTCAAATTATGATTTTTCATTTGAAAATTTTCTTCAAAAACCAACTCGCCAACTCAAAACACAATTCAAATGATAAAAATAAAGACAAATTCATGGAATATATTTAATTCTAGTTGAAGAATACTTACCCAATCGAATTTCATGAAAAACCCACCAAAAATCGCCAAGAACCGAGCTCTAGAAGTTAAAATATGATGAAAATGGTGTAACCCTCGATTTTGGAATATATTCTGTCTGCCCAAGGTGTTTGTTCATTGCGATCGCGGGAGAAGTGATGCGATCGCATAGAAGAAATAGCTACTGGCCCAAAATGTCCTATGTGATCGCGGGCAAATCGATGCAATCGCATAAAAGAAAAATGTTGTTGTCCAAATTTGTGCTATGCTATCGTGAACAAATCAATGCAATCGCATAGAGGGAAAATGATGTTGTCCAAATTTGTGCTATGCTATCGTGAACAAATCAATGCAATCGCATAGAGGGAAAATGATGTTGTCCAAATTTGTACTATGCTATCGCGAACAAATCAATACAATCGCATAGAAGGAAGATGCTACTGTCCAAATTTGTGTTATGCTATCGCGGACAAATCAATGCAATCGCATAGAAGGAAAATGATGTTGTCCAAATTTGTGCTATGCGATCGCGAACGAATCAATGCAATCGCATAGAAGGAAAATGATGTTGTCCAAATTTGTGCTATGCGATCGCGAACGAATCAATGCAATCGCATAGAAGGAAAAAATGGCAGGTTAACATTGTACTACGCGATCGCGGCTACGCCTATGCGATCGCATAGAAGGAAATACCAGATAGCAGAATAGCAGCTCAAACATAGGGAAAAATGACCCGTAGCCCATCCGAAATACACCCGAGGCTCCCGGGACCCCATATAATTACACAAACAAGTCATATAACCTAACACAGACTCGTTCGAGGTTTCAAATCACATAAAACAACACCAAAACAACGAATCAAACCAAAAATAAAACTTATGAATTTCCAAATCTTCAAATATCAAATCTCATGCCGAAATCTATCAATTCAACTCGGAATAATGCCAAATTTTGCAGACAAGTCCAAAATGACATAACGGAGCTGTTCCAAATCTCGGAATCGCATTCCGACCCTGATATTACAAAAGTCAACTATGTGTCAAACTTCTACAGTTAGATTAATTAATATAAACCAGATACAAATTAATGTTAATCAAATTATGTAAATACTTTTTTTATATTATCAATGTATAGAATTTAGACATTTTTCCCAAGAAAACATGGTAACATTGGACACAATATTATTTCTATAATACAATACTTAATTATACGTGACTTTTTGTTATAATAAATTGTATATTGACCATTAATGATACTGTAGTAAAAAAATTAAAGACTTTGGGCCCATGAGTCCTCTGCCGAAAAAGGACTTTAGCCTAGGAACAAATGAAAATAATAAAAGAAGGAAAGAAAATAAAATATTAAATAAAATCATAAATTGTTATAAAAATAAAGACTAGAAAGTCAATAAAGTATAGAAATGCATAGCATAAAGACTAAGTACATGAATTGTTTTGACTCCCTATTTATAGAAGAAAGGAAGGTGCTTCAAGGCTGATGCTTTTGGCATATTAATTGTGTAAGAGCTGATCGAGAATAGGCGAAGACGCCAATGATTTTAGAGATCTTAGTTGCCTTCCTTTCACTAACTTCTTCATCTACATTAATGGTCATCTTCTCGAGAATAGGTGCAGACGCCACTACTAACCTTACAAACCGCAATTCCACTTTTGAACCATGGAATCTATGTATTCCTAGAGTTTGAAGGTTATTGAGTTCATCAATCCTGCAGCCTTGTCCTTTCAACTGATTTAAATCTACTTTCCTGGAACCATTCTTGATCCGACTCAACTCTAAGTAGTATAAAGAAAAACTAGTAAGATTTGCATCTCTATACTTGAAAAATAGAGTAACAACTCATGAATTCAACATCTCACCAGAAGGTTAAGTAACTTCAAATTCAGACAACTTCTAAGAATGCATAGAAGGGAACAAATTTGATCTTCATCATTAAAATCGAATAGATAAAATTCGAGATTGACCAAGTGATTGAGCATTGTTGATAGCCTCCTTGCTACATCACTAGAAGCCAAAAACTAGACAACAAAAAACCCAAAATGGCAAAATAAGAACGTTATTAGTTAGAACTATGTACGCCGTCATTCTGAGCTATGCATCTTACCTTGAGGGAGCATCCGTCCAAGATAAGTGCTCTAACTTCAGGCAAGCTGCTGAGAAGTTTTACCAAGTTCAATGCTTCATGTTGTCCGTTTTGTGAAACTTCCTGTTGTGGCATAACTGCAAAAAATTTTACCTTCCGGCAGTCTTTGAATGAAATCCATTTTATTGTGTCAATGCCACAATTGCAAAATTTTAAACATAAAAGTTCTGGGGCATATATATTCAAGTGATGAAGACCACTACACTGTGTAAACATCAGATCTAAAAGGTTTGGAACACAGAGGAAAGAAGTTGCAACATCTAATTGAAACGAGACTCGATTTAGTGAAAGGCTTTTCAGCTTTTGGAACCCTCTAAAACGGCATGGTGGCCTGAAAATGCAGTTTGAGAGATTCAAATGTTCTAGCTCTACACCGTACACAGAGGAAGGCAACTTATAAGGAGTATTGAGATGTTCTAAACACCGAAGGGTAAGATCCACAAGACCATTTCTTGACAAATGTAGCATCCATAGATCAATAACTGAGTGCTTAGAAGGATTTATTATTGAAAGATCAAGGAGAAATGTCTTAATGGGTCCATAGTGATGCAATAGTACTCTATTAATGATGTCTGTTGTGCTTGATTGCTTTCCCTTTCTGCAGAAGTCCGCAGAAATTATGAGCTTTGGATTTGAAGCCCAAATATGTCTCCACTTACTAGACAAGACACTCATTCTTGTGGCATCCTCAATAGTCATGTGCTCTTGAATTTGGTGTATGACATTAATAGGAAGATCTGTAAGTCTATCAAGTTTGTCTCTTCCATCGTGAAGTCTTTTATAGCTATTTGTCATCACGATTGTAAGTCCTGGCCATTTGAACCAACAAAATAAGCATAGAAAATGCTTCACACATCCTGCATGTGCAAATCCAACTTCATATTCTAGTCAAGAAAGTAATGTTATAGTTTTATAAGATCAATCCAGACACACGCTTATCTAGATAATCAGATGGAATATAAATATTAGATTTCAAAACAGTCATCATTCTACAAATTCCAATTTTTTTTTAATTTATTCTACCAAGTACAAAGTATGGCATGAAGAGGTTAAGAGTTGTTGAGAAAATCTATTACAACATCCTTATATAACACACATCATTATAACAATATTCTTTTTATAACAGACATTCACTATAAAGCCAAGTTTTTTTTCAGAACCGATTTTTTAAGTTATATTTTACATCTCTATAACAATTTTTTACATGTAACAACAACAACCATATTTACAGCATAATGCTCTTTATAAAATTACCCCTCTATAAGAGACATATATAATTTTTAAGATTACTAATAATAATTCTAAAAATATGCACACAAACTTTTCCATTAAACAAAGTTTCTATCTTGCATAAGATATAAGATTTGAAGATTTGCACATGATATCTTTTTCATTGGACAAATTTTAAAAAATAATTAGATAAAAAATTTAATTATTAAGCTTTTAGATTGTCTCCAAGGGAAAGCTATTGGATACCTTTATGCTGAAAATTTGGACACGAATATATCTTTGTCAATTCAAGTGTTATATCGTTATTAAGTGAATGAAATCTGCGAAACAAGTTACAATTACAAAGTTCTTCCATCAATCTTGAAAGAATTTATTTTTCTAGGTAGCTTTAAAATGTCTGTCTTAGAGTTTAAATCTTTATACATTTAGTCATGAATTTATTAATAATGTATTAGCTTTTTTCAATATTTAACTAATGAAATATGCATATATTTTAAGATTTTAAATTTGAATAATTCTTTTATCTTTTATATTTTAAAAAAAAGTAAAAATAATTTATTTTGGATAATTTTTATCTATAACAGCCAAAATATATTTAAATATCAAATGTTGTTGTAGGTGTATAACAACTATTCAATATAGAAGCCAAAAAATATCAGAACAAATGAGGGATTTTATAGAGAGGGTTGACTGTAGGTTAATGTTGTATGGTGGGTCGGGCTGGGACCAAGACCGGACCGGGCCCGCGGTCCTAACTGGCTAAACGGACCTGGCGGGCCGGTCCTGGTGTGCCGGTCCTTAATGGTGCAAAAAGCCCGAGGCGGGCCAGGTCACATAAAATAGCCCACGAGCCCGGGACCACTAAGCCCGGGACCGGCTGGCGGGCCTGGGCCGGTCTTACCGGGCGTAATGGGCCTAACGGGCCTATAACGGCTACTTTAAAAAAAAATTAAAAATAGCAACGGTCAAAAATTAAAAAAGTAGTCGTTGGGCTGCAATTTTGACCGTTTGGAACTTTCAAAAATAGCCATTTGGCCCCCAAA